GATTGTCAACAATTACATTTAAAGATGAAATGTCCTGAAATAACAACTTTAAACAGCTCTGTGCTTTAAGAATACATTGGAGACAGCACACTTGCTATGCAACACTTGGTTATATGTTTACAGTACAATCTACACCAAGGTCACAGCTACTTGACTGATGTTGTTTGATGGCAATATACTCTGCAGATACTAAACACATTGAATATATGTATCACTGTATTTGTTATTGAAAATGTGCATTAAATAAACAGCTTCATCTTAGTGCTTTTTTCTCCCTTAGAAATACTTGGTGTACTTGTTTTGCAGAGGTACATTTCACCAAATAGTGATAATACTTTAACTGTCATTTTGGTATTCGCAGAGGAAGGATAAGTCACCAGTTTAGCATCGTTTGTCAAACGCTCATATTAACCAAGAAGAAATAAATGCTTTGGGGTGAACAAGAGCAGAGCTTGTTAAAAGTGTGTACCTGTTTATCTCCTCCTTTCTCCCCTTGCCAAACCACTCCTCCATTGTGTTTTAATGTGTTCTGCTTTAGTTGGAAAATGGAGCATATTCAATGCCATCTCTTTTACAATGCCATGCAAATATGCCTCATTAGAAAGCATCTTCAAAAGGAAGGGACAGACAGTGCCTGAAAACAGCCACCACATTATTCCTCCTTCCTACATTTCATCAACCTGGAAATAAAATGTTTCACTTGATGTATGCGACTATTGTTGTAGTTCTTCATTTACCATCAGCGCTTTTAATAATGACAATAGCATATTTGACATTGTCGTGTTCTTTGCATAGTAAAGCAGTGTATTCCCCTCAGGCAGTGGTTGCTGGTGTTCACTTCCTAATCCACATGACCAATGCTGTTTACTTCAAATGTAGCTTCACAAGAACAAGGGAAGATGCCAACTAAAAAACACTACACAGCTACTAAACATGTATTATTCTGTTTAGTTTGCATCACTGAATAATGTATTATAATGGTGGTGTATGATAGATCAATCACTGATTTCCCACATTCATATTTGTCCCTAAAACAAAAAAAACGACATTACAGAGAGTATCATTTGTATGACATTATAAGATCTGTAGAGTGAAGTGTTGTTGCTGTGTTAATAATGCAACAATGACTAATAGTGTGGACGCTAAGACGCTTAGTTTTATTCTATAGTAGAGCCATCAATTGATGCTAGAGGATGTTAGAAGGACACTCAATTGGCTTTAGTCAGAGGACATCGGCTAATTAATTAACATGCCCTTGGTTTAAGATGCTATGTGTAGCACTAATGAATTAATGATCAATATATCATTGTTAAATTAATTGTGATACCTCGGCATGATGAGCATAAACAAATAGAGACACCGGCACTCGGTTCAGCCCAAGTGGTGGTACTAGTGCAGGTGTTACATAAAAGGAAGACAATAGAGACGTTTTCCTGCTTGTCACAAAAAGGATGCTGCTAAGTGTTCCTGCTTTATTCTCTACATCAGGGGTGCTCACACTTTTTCAGCTTGGGAGCTACTTTTCAAATGACCAAGCCCAAAAAATCTACCTACAGGGCCGCCCCTGCCCAATCTGTGTCGCGAGCGCGAGGGGGGGGGGTGCTAGTGGAGTAAAAGGCGGATAAACTGTGGTGCGCTTACACTAATTGTGCCGCATAAGCGCATAATAGTGCGCCGCATTTGCGCTTCAGATGAGGAGGTGAGGCCCCCTCATAACTGCATGAACCTGTATGGCACAATACAACTCAGACTGGCTTACCTGTACGTCAATCTTTTTTTTTTTTCAATGCCATGCGATCTACCCACACTACCTTTGCGATCAACCGGTCGATCGCGATCGACGTAATGGGCACCCCTGCTCTACATCATGCTGCTTGTCTTCTGGGTAATAGTCTTGTTTTATTTTCTGGTAATTATACTGTATCCTTGAAACAAATAAGCTAATAATTACTGTCGTGAAAATGCTAAAAGAAACACCTGGCAAGCGATAACATAATATTGATATTATACTATCATTAAGAGTTGAAGCACTTCACACCATACATGTAAACTAGTTAAACCATGTCAGGTGTATGTGACTTCAATGTAATGCTTCAACATGAAGCATTACATCCAGAGCTGTTTGAAACCCCACTGCAGAGGTTGGAGGCATGTGTTTGAAAAGTGGGGCCATTATTGCTTTGGAACTTATTCAGCGATCATTTACTACATTTTTATTGGAGCAAAGTAGCGCCTTGGGAGGGGGGTTGTTACTAACCGATAACAATTTATACCGCACAGGATCCCTATTGTGAACATTCTAGTCACGAGCGCTACAAAAAGAAACATTTTATGACAGATAGTGTTCATTGCACATCTGCTTCCTCTTGGGATGTTTGACGTTTATCAAGGCCACTATCTCTATCTAGTCTTGAACAGGCACAGTATCATGCTGAATATGACTAGATATGGACATCATAGGTGATTCAATGAAAACCATGAGTTAAGGAAAAAAGTGATGACTTAGCAGGTGCCTATTAGTTTTGGTTTGGCAAGCTTATCTGAGCTTAAGACATGTTTGATATAGTCTTTATAATGTGTCTGTGACAATAAGCTCCACCTATTCTACCCTGTAAGTAACAAGGTGACCAAAGGAACATGTTCTGACTGGAATGAGAACATATTGACCCGAACAAGCAGTCCTAGTTTGGTAATGATGTACTATGCTGGTGAAACACATGTACTGTATATGGATGAAGGAACACTCTCTGCCTCCAATTCATTTGAAGCGTAACACTGTGTTTGAGTAAGCTTCAACTCAGGCTGTAGTCACATCTGCTGAGTCTCACTTTCCATATCCAAATTACAAGTAAAACATATTTGCACTCACTGTAGGGTACTAAATAGTGTTATGAAACTCATCTTTGTGTGATGAATATTATGTTTCCGCACAATTTGTATTATCACATCTTGCTGTGATATTACAAAGTTTGGCATATTTGATAAAGGTCCTGTTGATTTTTTTTACATATGAGAACTGTGTTCTGCAGTTTGTCAACATGATCTCAAAACTGTGTCTGTTTTCAAACATACACTAACTCCACTCAGTGCTATCCTCCAGGACTAAGTGTTGTTCCCTCACTGTACTTTAACTGACAAAGATGGCTGCCTTGAATTTTTGTTTTGCCTGTCCATAAACAAAGAGAAGGAAGACATAGTGCACAAAACCCATTGTCCCCATTCTCTCCATGCAATCACACAGATAGAGCTTGGAAATTGGGTTTCTTATCAAATGTGGGCAGAAACGGTGTAGGAAAGAGCAAAATGATTGTAAGGAGTCACTTGCAATTCTGCCTGTGTTAGATTAACAAAGCGTCGGGAAAGAGTACACTGTGTTTGTGTACACGGATGTAAGATGGAAAGGCGAACAACATTGGCCTATCATGTTTGAAAGAGTCATGTGTGTTTTTGGATAGCTTTCATGCACACATGTTAAGGTCTGGTGGTTTGCTGCAGAGTTTAAGGCACTGCAGTGTTTTTGGATAGTTCTACAAGGGAATGGTCACAGCACCACGGAGCAATGTTTGAATGCCCAATTAGACGAGGGAATTTACGATAGAGACATGTTTTCCCCACCAAAGTCCTCTGAAGCAAGATGTACAACTATTACTTTTCCCACTGGCACCAAGCTGCCTGAGCCTCCACACCCTTAAGAGCAGAGTTGCTGAGATAAAGAAAAAGACCCCTTGAAGAGTATTTCACCGATGTCTCTCAGATCAATAACACAGATGGAGGGGTAATCCCCAGCCATGTATTCTGCGTTTCTTGGGCACTGAAATGGCTGCCTTCTGTTTAATTTGTGAGACAAATTATTCAATGGGGTGTCTGTACTATATAATATGCAAATGAAGCCATTGTCGCCGCATGGTTCTGTGGCGGACAGCTGAGGGATCTTGTTGGCGCACGCTTGGTTGGTGTTGTTTTATATAACGAGGTACAATTGTCTATTAATCACACATGCTGTGAAGGAATGCTAAGACACAAACACTGTCTGGCCTAATAACGGGAAAACAGATTATGTTTACATTTTGTAAACTTTAATGAACAATTATGGAGCATATATCTTCTGTGTGTTTTTGGGAAGCAGCTTGATTTGAAAAGACACAGTTTATCATGTTTTTATATAGAAGAAAATGTTTAAAGACAAGTATGATGTGGGGTAATGGTCCTGGATAAGATGGAAACCTAAAACAACACAGTCACACACCTACAGGATAGCAGCACGCTCTGTTTAAAACATCATTGATAGGCTCAGAGTTGATTGACAGCTGCCCTGTCCACAGTCGACACAGAAGCAATCAGTCCACAAAGAAACATCCTTATTAAAGCCATTACTTACTACATTTCCTGTAGGACATGACCAGAGCAGATATATGATAAACAGTGCATGGGTGCACTTGTTTTATCTGTACATCACCAATGATTAATGAAGACACATTACGCTGCAGCTTGCTATATTTAAAAAATGTTGAAAGCAAGCATTCATTATATCTACTAATTACTCATACTTCTATTGACATTGCAGTCTTGTTAAATTAACACACAATGTGAGTGCTGTATATCTTCCTGCAGAGCAATAACATAATTGGCCTTGTGTATGACGCACTTTATTTGCATTTTACCACGACATGGAGTGAGACCAGGCGGCTAATTACATGTCTCACTGCAGCTGTATCTAATTGTACCCTCTTCAATCGCCATGTCTCCGGTTTAAGCTTGTTCTGTGTTATGTATCCTTGTCTGTAACCCAGCGTAAGGACACTGGCATAGCGCCACTTCTCTGTAAACCCCCGTTATGATTATCCGTTTTAATTGCACTATGCATACCCCCAAAGGACAAAACTGTAACAAGTCTGTCAATAAATCATGTCTTCCCAAAAAAGCTTCCGGCCTCTTTGGATCCTTTGACTCTTCCAATACGTCGGTGGCCCCCGGGGGATGGGCCTGACTTCTGATGTGTCTTACACAACCAGCAGCCTCAAGAGCACTCCAGACTCTGGGACAAGACAGAATCAAAGTGAATCATCCGGAGCTTATCTTAATATTGCTACAGACACACACTTGTATGTCTTTCTTTTTGACTTTCTACTTTTTGTTCCATTACTATCACTCTTCGGCACTGCAGGCCACCACTCTCAGGCATCCAAATAACATACCTGAAAACATGAGGTCTGAAGATTACAATTACCTGTGCATCCAGCAGACTGGAGACACCTATTCACATTTAAGTGCTCTGTTACCACGGCTATTACTTGAAGATGATTCTAGAGGGAGGAAGTCAAACAAGTAAAGGTGCTTCCATCAAAGACAGTCATCACTTGATGGCTAAACGTGAAGAGTACGAATTGGGCTATTGGTCTTTTCAGCAAATGCAGTTATAATGTGTGTGATGATGACTGTGTTTCTGTCAAGGAAGAAACTTTTTTAGAAGCACTCCAAGTAAACATTTCTAAAAGACTCATATCTAGAAGGTGTGCTCTTACCTTTGAGGTCCAGGTTGCGGGCTCCATTGGAGTGCTGTGTAACGGTGCGTGAGTCGATCTTGAGGGTATGTACATTGTTGGCGTCCCGGGACACCACCACGTTGTGCCACTGGTTGTCATTGAGGGTCTTCTCTGAGTTGCCCTTCATCAGCGACGGCCCATTGCCCAGATCAAAGACGTAGTGGACAAATCTGTGTAGAAACACATTGGAGTGTGAGAGTGTGTTTCTGTCACTGAAAATCCGATGCAAAAGCTGCTCTTGACGAGAAGGGAATGAACATCATTTGTGAAAAATGGGGACAATCAACGTAATAGTTAGAATTAGAACTCTATTTTCTCATCACAACATGTTTTCTTTCAATGACATACCCTGATGACTGGTCAAAGTCAACAACACTCAATGTTGCATTAGCATAATGAAGTGAAGTGCTCTCCTACTTTGTCTCTAATATTATCTAAGGGCATGTTACCAGTTTAAATGGTTGCTCATGAGGCTTGGGGGTTTATGATTATTTACTGATTTGACATCTGAAAAATTAACATGTTTTGTCAAAAAGCTGCCGTATGCCCAAAGGCAGTAGAGGACGCACAATTCCTCCCTTCCACACACATATGGATGTCTTTGTATTTGTGCTATTGTGACGGTTTCATTCAAGGTATGGTGTTTTTTCAACCTTGATTCCAATTCCTTTATGTAGCCTCTTGTCTTTGTTCTACAGAGGCAGCTCAGGCTTTTGTGTGCCGTGCACAGGAGGAAGAGAGATGCACAAACAAAAGCCTCTTTTTGATACTATAATTATGAACAGCTTTGAATTTTAACCAGTTTATTTGTGGTGTGTGCTAGCTTATAGAACATTTACAAAATCTGTTGGCAGTCAGAATGATCAATTGTGCACACAGTTATTCATTAACACTCAGTTAAAGATGGAGTAGGTAATTTTGTCGAAACCAACTCGAGTGCGCTAGAATTTGAAAATACACAGCCGGAAAAGATCTTCCACTTCCTTACAGAGCCCCTCCTCCAACACATGAACGTGCACATGACCAATGAGGGCACGGGATACGTTTTTGCAAAGATGGAAGGCTGACGGGCAGGTAGGCCATCCAGTTATTTTAGCCGGGCCGGCTCAGATGATTGGTCGTGCTTTTTACAGTACTACGGCTTCCACAGAGGATATTTTGTAATGGATTTTTTGTCAAAGCACTTCAGATATTCATTGCTATCGGGATGTTAAGAGCATTCCATGGAATATAACAAAAAGTGTATCTCGAGCCGGTTTCTCGAACTTACCGACCCCACCTTTAATGGGTTGTAAAAAGCCATAGACTGGTTAAAGAAAAAATACTTGATATTTATCCACTTTGTTTCTCTTTGAAGGCAACTGATCATGAATCCTTTCACTAAAGTCATTCCATCCAGCATACTCAGATTCATACCAGCATTAAAATGACTCACTAATCTGCTTAAACTTTGAAAAAAAAAGGGTTTCAGTTTTATATTGTAGAACACAGAGTAAAAATGAGAGATAATTCATAACCATTTTCTTGATTCGTGTGGTGATTCAGTGATGACACAGCATCCTCACTGTATTTCACACAGAGTGCAACTGGGTTACCTTTAGCACGAAATGGGCTTGAACTATTGCTCACAGTGTTTGACGGCTAACACTTGATCAGTCAATTGATGATTGAAAATGACTAAAATAAATAACTTAAAAAATATCAACTATCATTTTTCAAGCCAAACACAAAGGACATTAGGGTGAAATAATGTATTTTTGTGACAATAGGCAAAGGATATTTTGGGAAATAAAATAACTAACAGTGAATCATAACACTTCCTCAATTAACTCAAATCACATGGCACTCACCCTTTCACCAGTTCTACGACTATGAAGTCACTACCGTCTCCAGAGTTGAAGAGCATCAGGCCGTCGGGCGTGGTGGTTTTAAACTGAAAGAAGAGGTGCATCGAGGCGTAAGCTTGCAAAGTGGCTAACGCTAAGTAGCTGCCTTTCGTTCGAAACGTCACCGGATCTGCAATGATGTGGCGCATGCCGAAGCGGGCGTTCAGTTCACAGTACGAGATGTCACCATTTTTGCACTGGTCTAAATAGGGCAACCCGTTGAAGGTCAGGCCCTGGAGATGGCCAATGAAGTTTGAGGGCACCACAGATATGAAGCGCCGCTCCGTCATGATGCCCGTCTCTATGTTGTGGAACTCCAGACGTGTGTGGGCACCAGTCATCTTGCCTGAATGGGCGGGATACAGAAAAAACAGCATTAACCCCAAATTAAAATGGTAAAGGATTATAAGTATTCTAAGAAGACACATTTGTACGTTTCAAAGCATGATATGTTACACGAAAAATGTATGACTTCTTGGGAAATTGCAAGTCAAACTTAAAATAGTCATACTCAAATGAATTTAACTGTAAAGCAATACTCAGGAACTAGCATTTAAAATGCCTGCTATAGTAATTTAGTGAAAAGAACAAATAGCGCACATTTTGGCATATCTTCATTATACTCATTAGATGGTAAATAGATGCTTGTTGCTTGCCAAAGCAGTCTTTGTACAGTATATGGTTTTGTGGTATATCTTCACAAAGGTTAAGCCTATGTTGTCTAACCTGCTGTGAAGGAAACTAAAGAAGCATAACATTGACGAAAATCGCATTACTGCTCCACACGCACCAATTGATATTGTGTTTACTGGTAGATTTGGAATAATGAGCTTGGCAAGCTGCCGATTAGAATGACTTCCCTGCTGAAGCCTGGTCAGCCCTGCAGGTCCTCCCTGGGCTCTTTTCTTTATTATTGTCCATTCAGAGCTTGTTTCTGGCCTCAGCTTGTCCACTCTCTTCCTTTATCGAGCGTGCAGCTTTTTTCTCACGTCTTACTTCATCCTCCGACCTGCCATCATTTCGCCTCAGGCCACAATATTGTGATCGCTGTGATTCCACCTTGGTCTTGACCTTTCATCATTATCTTGCTATTTTCTTATAAGATGTAGGAACATGTAACTCCATCCTTTGTAAACAGCTGCTCACTCACTGTCGGTATACAGTATATCTCCCTTGTTAAATTCAGTTAAGTGCCTGGATTTAATTAAATATGCAGAATTATTTCAGCTTTTGTTTACATCTTTATGGGTTTGCTACTAACCTGTTTATCATTTTCAGCCTTACAATGAGACATCCAATTATGCAAGACTGTGACCATAACAAGTATTCCTCACCTATATAAGCATACATCTTTTTTTATTCTCAGTAATATATGTGTTAAGCTGTGTTACCACTCTTCCTAATATCAGTTTAATAATAAAATAACAAACCATATGCCTCCTCCATGTCTGAATCATTATCATCCTAATTAGTCACTTCCCGTTTTCAAATGAGTCGTTTTAATGACAAATGGCAAAACTGTTAACTTTCTGTGGGTGGATGTGTTATTGAGTCTAACCCTAAATGAATCCCTCGGTGTGCTGAACACAACTAACCTTCCACTGTGACATTATCCACAGACAGCTGCAGGTTCATGCCTCTGCGCACCACCTTCACTGTGTGCCACTCATTGTCGTTCAGCTTCTGCCCCGCGAACAGCGTCTCAGGTCCTTTACCTGTAGTGTGGGGGGGGGGGGAAATCAAATCACACACAGGACAGTTGGAGTGCTACACATGCCTACGCATACACCCACACACACAGAGTTCACACTCAGTAGGAGACGGTGCTATTGGAGAAAACCTGCATGTTTGCGGAACACATTCACACCATGGATTATCCTGGTCTACTGGAAATTAAAGGAATATCCGACGTAACAGACTGTAAAATTGAATGTCTTCTCAAAAGCTCACAGTGGTGCAGCAGGGTGTCAGCAATGGCAGCAGGACAAAAAACCTCTTAACCAGTACAGGAAGTAGATTCAAACAAGGCAGCCAACGACTACTGTAGACGCAGTGTTACAAGCGTTATATAAAGTCATGTTTTACATATTTTCTTTATGGGTGGGACCATATATGTTAACCGCATCGCCCCTGCTCACCTCAATTGCTGTTGTTTAACAATCACTGAAGGAGACAATTTCATGCAACGGCATACTGTATGGCGCTGCAAAAAGGGCTTTTAGATAAATATTAACATAAGCAGGGCCGCCCCTCCCTTCACGCAGGTCACGCAGACTGCGTGGGGCCTCATCTTGCAGAGGGGGCCTCATCTTATGCGCACATGCGGTGCAATTCATCTAATGAACAAATGCGGCGCAATTAAGCGCTTCCACAGTTAGCCCACTGCAAGGCTCCGGAGAACTAACAGTTCACGAGCGTGCTCCCCCCGTCAACGCTCGCTACACATAATGAAACACCTTTGCGTGGGGCCACAAGCTGGCCAAGGGCAGCACTGAACATAAGTGTATATTCAAAGTGTGGAACAGACTATACTGTATATATCCAGCCAATGACAGAGCCCGATTACAGCTACATTGGAAAAATGTGTCAGCGTGAGGGAGTGACCAGCTATCAAGGTGTTGTTTGAGACAGGAGTCATGAATCCCGCTTTCAATTCACCATGACGAGTTGACATGATTCATTGCTCAAAGTCAAGGTGGTGGCTGATTAATATGTCAACTTTTGTTTAAGGATTTAATATATGACACACAAGAGTAGGGACATATGGGACAGGACAACAAAAAGGAAAGCATCCCTCACATGGCTAGTGATGATGTCATAAAGAACTGCCAGTAGTGGGCACACGTAGTTTCATGGCAGCTTGGTGAATGCAATCAGTGATAAAGAAGGGAGAAGGAGTAAACATCAATATAATGAGGTGGGCTTTCACCTTATTGGCAGCAGGGCAGACTGAAATAACAGAAAGCCGGAGGAGACTAGTCACTTCCATTAAGCCACCTCCTGTACTCTCTACGCTTTTAGGCAGCCTTGAAGTGGAGCAAAAGCTATTGTGACAGGTGAATAAAGAAATGTGACATTAAAAACATACCCTTAGCACTGATTATTTCTTGTTTACCTATCTTATATCATACATGCCACTTGATGTTTGGAGACAGTGGCTCTTCCCTGACTAGTTGGCTTGCTGAAGCTGGTACGTATTAAACTTGGAGCTCGCCATAATGATATATTACAGCCTGGCAAAATATGATTGTCCTCTTCCCAGTTGTGTTTGAAATGATGTAGTCTAGAGTAGAAAAAAGTCCCATCAATTGATGGCCTCGCCTGGCAGGAACACACACATGGCCCACTCGAGAATTGTTTTCCCATTTACTCCTGTTACTTTTTCATTATATTGTTTTTTCATGGGCTTTTTGTCTTCAGCCACATGAAATTGGGTAGCGAGATGTTGGATCACACCATGTGTGAAGTAAATATAAAGGAAAAAAGGCTGCTATTGCTGCAAAGAATGGACAAGATTTACCAGCAGAGAAGTTAAAGCTGCCACGAAGATAGATAGGAGGATAGAGTGGGAAATATAAAATGGGATGAAGATGAAAAACGGAGAGTAAACTGAAGCCAAAAACTCGGAAATAAAGTGCAACAGAGCAGTGGCAGAGCTGGCTGATGTAAGATCACAAAAGTTAGAATAGTCTAGTGCAGCACAAATTATTTGGAATGGCTGCCCTTTAGATTAAGGTCTATGAAATATTTATTCGACTCGACTACTAAAGGCCTCAGGACAGCAGGGGCCAGTGCTGCACGCAGGAGCCATTTGGCCATAATATCACCAACAATAGGGGGCATAAGATATATAGGCAGTTTTGACATGGGCTGGCCCAGCAACAGAAAGCTCTGGGCAGAAGGTGGTAAAATTGCAGCGAGGGACTTACATTAGGTTGTAGGGGCAGAGTGCAAGACACGGTAAAAACACAATTGAGGAAAATCACAGAAAAGGCACACACTGGGTTGAAGGGGTCAACGGTTGTAGAAACAGCTGGGTGGATTCACAAGTATGAGATGGCTGGCTAGGTAATACTGCAAACAAGGAAGCAGAGGACTAGCGGGCCAGGGTTACATGAGCCTCTGAGCCGTTAACGGAGCCACAAGCAAAGGCTCTTTGCTAGAATTACAAAGGGGAACACAGGGATCATTAATAAAAGAGCTGGTGATTATTAAAAAGCAATTCATTCTCATCTTGTCACTTATGCCCTCTCACTCTGTCTTGGAGATCAGCAGGGCAAAGGGCTGCGATCAAAATAAACAGAAGCTCCCTGTTCTCATCTCTTGTGTTAGCTTGTTCTGTCACATTTCTGTCACATGGGAGCTAAAGATATGTCAGAGAGATTCCTATATAGAGTCAAAATAGCCATGATTGCAGCTTATTGACTGTGATCACACCAAATGAGAGGTGGGATGTTTGCACAGTGTTGTATTATTACCAGCCGTCATCCATCATTGGTCTCTGTGTTCACTCTGTAAACAACCTTGATTAATGCAATCGGATCAATGGAACACGAGCCGACAGCCAATGGCTGCAGGATGTTGCCATCAGTCTCTATTCAGGCTGTGTGGTCGCTGCGGCAGCCCTGAGTACTCCAACACAGTAGTGTAATCATTACGCCTCAACACTAGTCAAAAACAACTCTGGAGGGTGAAGCTGCTAATCAGTCATTGATGACAACATTTGTATCATGACAATCAGGAAATGATACATGATGCTGGTGTTCGGTTTGATGTCACTGTGTAGATGTGACAGAGAGATTAAGACCCATGGTGACCTCTCAGAAACCCGGGGGCTAAAAATAAAAGGGCGATGGGGCATTTTAATTTGTTTATGTTGCATTGCATTGTGGTCCAGCTAACATCCCCGTTGTCACTCAGAATCATCCGTGACCGATGCTGGCGGCTACACAGCGAACCCAGCGAGCGCTCCCGACATGTTGTTAAGCAAACAAACGTGTGGAGGGCTAATGCTGGCCAGAGGGCTTGGAGCCGGCCACAGAGGAGCGATCACTGCCCGCCAACGTATCAGATAGAACAACAGGGCCTCAGCATGAGGGCCCACGGGCGGCTCCGGCTGGGTCCGGGCTGGTGCAATAGTAGACCACAACAGAACCAGCTATGAATCACAGTCATACATGGGGGCAGGCCATTGTCAGGGTCACTCAAGCAAATGTAGTTAGAGTGCTGAAATTGTAGGGGTCAGGGGTAACAGCAGGGGGTGTGAGGAAGTTAAATTCTGCTGGGAGGGATTTAATGTGATGCCTGATACTGCCATGCCATGTTACTGTATGTTCGTATGCAATGAGAGTTTGGATTAAAAGTCTAACTCCCATTTTAAAGTCGGATATTGTGAATACATATTGCACTTACTACTTTGATTGAGTTATGGGGCTTTGAATCTTGTTCCTTTGGGTTCCTGCTCAAGTTGGGATAGGAGTTAACAAGGTGGACACATAGATGACGACAAGAAAAGAGAGTAGAACAACTGCCAGTTCAAGTTCTTTGATTTACATTTCCTAGAAAAGAATATAGGCCTAATTATTAGCATATAGCACTGGGGACTTTTTAGGTCACGCGTTTCTACGAAAACCAACAATCTGCACTCACATGCAGTCCAATTAAAATTTTCAACAATAGTGTTTCATTCTCAGCTCAGCAGCCCCACTCTGAGGAAAGAGGGAGGACGCTGAGTGTTAGAAAATAGGACGTGAAAAAAAGAGAACCTGAGGAGGGGCTAGAGGAAGAGAACAGAGAACATGTCTGGATGAAGGTGCAAACGAGATGATTGAAGTAGATTTTTCATGCAGAACAGCAGAGCAGGATAGAAATCCAACTAGAGACACCAAATGATGACCAGGGGGATTTCTTTGTAAATTCATATGGAAAAGAGGAGGATCGAAAAAAGATCAATCCTCTTTTGTCGTCATCAAAGTGGAAACATTTGCATGTGCAGTATGAGTGTTAGACTTATTTATGTTCATGATTAGCATTTCACTAACAGGTGATAGACCCCAGGCAGCCCCCTACTGTGCACCCATCTGGGGAAGCACACTGAATGATTGTGAACGCACTCACACAGACATATGCTAATACTTGTTTAGGTGCATTGAATATACTGTATGCCAAAGGGAGATTTGTTCTTTCAAAGTAAAACCACAGGAATTACCCTACAGGCTTGCTTTTCTGTAATAGTGTTTGTAATGCAATTTGGAAATGTCAACTCGTGTCTACTTTACCAGCATGTGTCTGACAATACATCTAAAATTAGTATACAAGAGTGTGTGTACTTCAAGAAGCATGAATGCCACATACACCCAATATCATATAATTATTGTACAACTGCCAACAAATATAGCAGAATAAGACATGCATATGTCATCGTTCCAGGAAAAACATATTTTCCTCGTTACTGTGCGGACATCAAAAATCTAATCTAACATTTGAAAATGATCATGCAGAAGAAAACCACCAACATTATTCCAGTAATCACTAACCCATTAGTGGTGTTTTTCTTTGATTGCTTTCAAAGTTTCACGGTAAATGACGTGTGTAGATATCAAAAACAGACTCATATTTGGTGTTAAGAGGGATTTTCTGTACCAAAGGGACTTCAGCTAAAGTGTGGATATATGGTAGGCATTTATTAGGTGTACTGTAGGGACTGCAGGCTGTACGCTGAGACTGTATGGCCTCTTGCTTTCCAACAGTTGTGGGAGGTCTAAGTGTGTGTTTGTGTGTTTGTGTGTTAGAGAGGGATCAAGAGAAAGTGTGAGAGCTTGCACTTCCGTTAAAATTTGCAGAGGAGAGCAGTACATGCTGTGCACAATGGATACATCTCCCACACACAAACATGCTGCCCTGCAATCCTGCTGTGCAAACAGACCAGTGCTCTTAATTGGACCAGTGGGGGTCTGAGTGTGTGTGTGTGTGTGTGTGTGTGTGTGTGTGTGTGTGTGTGTGTGTGTGTGTGTGTGTGTGTGTGTGTGTGTGTGTGTGTGTGTGCATGAGAGAATGACATATAAAGAGAGGTGAAGGGAGAGAAGCAATTTCAAAAAGGTGATGTTACATTTAAATGTAGGGCTTAGGTTAGAGTATCACTTAAGGTGAAGTGTTTGAGAAAAGGATTGTAATCACATGATAGTCAGTGTGTATGTGTGAGTTGTGTGTATGTGTGTGAGTGAGTTGTGTGTGTGTGTGTGTGTGTGTGTGTGTGTGTGTGTGTGTGTGTGTGTGTGTGTGTGTGTGTGTGTGTGTGTGTGTGTGTGTGTGTGTGTGTGTGTGTGTGTGTGTGTGTGTGTGTGTGTGTGTGTGTGTGTGTGTGTGTGTGTGTGTGCATGTGTGTGTGTGGGTGTGTGGGTAGAGTAAGTGAGACTGCCAACAGATAAGGAGAGAAGTGCAGTGTCAGCACATCTTCTTTCCTGGCACGGGAACACCACAGGATGGATGGATGACACATGCTTGTGTTTGTGGGCGAGTGTGTGTGAGTGTGTGTGTATGTGTATGTGAGTGTAAGCAGGTGATCTAGAGGACAATATATGTGTGAATGTGTGTTTGTTGTAACTAGGTTGTATATCAAAAATGTAAGGAGAGCATATTTAGCTTTGAGGACTTATTCTTTAGATTTACATATTTTTTATGACGTTTAGAGTGTGTGAACGTATGCAGTGTGCAAGTGTGTGTTTCAGTTTATGTGCCAACCCCATGCCCCGTCTCTCCTCTGCCATCTGTGCTCCTGGCATGGCTCCTTAGTGTCGGTAATGAAGAGGAACGCCCCCACTCTGCCTCACACACGCTCTCTCCCTTTCTGTCGTCTCCTCGTATGTCTCTCCAACAACCCTCTCCTTCTGCTGGATCACTTTAACCCCAGATGACTCTGCTGCTCTCTGCACACCAACAACTGATCTGTCCCTGCTACTGGATCTCCACTTCCAAAGCACCTTCCCATATTGCATCTCCTATGAATCTGCTTGGCTTGTTATTGATTGTTCTTTTCTTTTTTCAACAGAACCTCACAGTGTGTTGCTTCTTAAGCTGAATGCTCCCCTCCCACCCAAAATAACAAATCCTATAAAAACTGAACATTTCATAGCTCTACAGAAAGGGACCCCTGATGTGTCCTGAAGAACACAATGATAACCTGCCCGAGACCCAAGATTACACATAAAAAGACATGTGGCGTCTGTTTGAGGACACTGTATTGCATGTGTTATTTGGAAGCTTTACTTTAGAGTAAACATTCCTATCCCCAACCTTTAACCTGGCCATAACTTCATACAACTACATATTTGACCTTACCCATTACTCTGGATTTTTAACCCAACATTGTACAGAATGTGAATGAAGTTGACTAGAAAATAACAATGTCTTTATCTGTCTTCTTTCAGAAATCCCCATTCAGTATGAAAGTACCACATTTTGCCTACATTGAAAACATGCACACTCCCACACCTAGGACCCACACACACATTATCAAACACAACCCTAATCCTACAGCAATCCACCTACAATACATACACCTCTACCCCATGATGTAACGAGGAATACATATGTGAGTAAACTATGACATTCAGTTGGCGATCACCATGAGGAACACAAATAGCTTCCGTTTTGTAAAACTGAACTTGAATATATTTTCCAAAACAACATCAACATATTATAATTTGGTTACATTTTTGAGACTCATTGAAACTGCCTTGTTGGCAGTTACAGTTTCAGAATATATTTAATTCATGCAAACACCAGTCCTGATAATACTTTGATCAGCATTAATTTACATAATAAATACTTCAGCAACAGCTGAAGGCTTTTGGGACTTTTCTGCAGCTACTGAGGTGGACAGCTTAACCCCTTTTAATAAGTGTATTCACTTGCATAGTCTCCACTGAACATATAAGCACCCTCACACTCCATCACACCCTTGTTTAAGCTCTGGACCTTTTTTGAGTGCAGTAGTTCAGGAGATTGTTGGATGCCATGCCTCGCCAAACCCCCGTTCCAATGGCCTTTTCCTCATGCCCGCCTCCAATGATTCCTCCCTTGTGCCAGCTTGGCTTGGAGCAGATGGGTTGGTTCAGCATGGCGTCACACCCGCCGACACAGTGGCATGTCAAACAGGCGGTCACAGGCCTGGGCATAACAAGCACAGACACACTGTACCGCCATATGCGAATAATGTGTGCTCAGATCATATTGGCTGGGCCGACAGAGCACGATTCATGGCCTGATTTGACCACCAATTAGAATGAATAGATACCACCAGCACACATTTATAACCAGACTGTAGTCAAGGTGGCATAACACTTTCATGAAAGCACCATTGCACTTAGATATGAACACAAACACACACACACACAATCTATCAACCCAAGTGATGACAGTCAGCTGCAGACATGCACAATGCACTCACTTTCTTTCCACCAGACCCACTCACAATCCACTTTATCCATCAGACAGCAATACAACACACACACCTATTCTACACTCACCAGCCCTGGCACTTGTTCTGATTTAAACATATGACACACACACACACACACACACACACACACACACACACACACACACACACACACACACACACACACACACACACACACACCACACACACACACACACACACCACACACACACACACACACACACCCAACACACACACACACACACACCACACACACACACACACAACACCCCTGCTGTCCTCTGCAGGCATTGATGCCGGCCTGTGTTTGGGAGGTTAATGGCCGTTGCTCCTCCACAACCTTTCACACTTGTTACTCAGAGTGATTGCAGACTGTCTGGACGCCAGGGACCTAAACTTCCAGGACACCAAAGCTGTTCCAGCAGCCATCTCTCATATGACTGACCACCCTCCACTCTAAAGTTATGCAAGTTGAGGCGCCGTGTGCAAAGACGCCATGCTTCATATCCTTTCTTGAAAAGGAACAATGATTTAGACATGCAAGATAAATCTTCTCAATTGTCCTTTGTCCAACTTTCCAACAAACCAAAACCAGAGCATTTTGTGTAGGACGAACATTGGTGAAAAGATAATTTATAATACTATATTAAACACTGCCATTTGTATGCATATTATATGTATAATACATACATTAAAACATATGAGGGAAAAGAAGTGTTGACAAATCCAGAAGGTATAATATGTATATAAATATGTAATAATTTAGGGAACATTTTATAAATACATGATCATGGAAGGTGGTATCGAAGCATTTTTAAAATGATAAGATTATTGTCACTTTCCTTCAAAATTATACACCGTTAAAGCAGCTTTACAAAATGCTAATAGCACCTGTTAGTGGGCTTGGTATCCATTTGATAGAGGTTGATTTGCTTGTGAAATGGCCATATGATTTTTTTTTCATTATTGATGTATTTTTAATAAGTCACGATTAATTAACAGGCAATACCAACGTTGTTCAGTTAGTAACAATTGTTCGTTGCGCCGGAAAAATCAAACTTCTTGCCATTTCCGGTGGTAAATCATCGAGTGACCGAGCTGAGCTGAGTCCTGTTTGAATGCATTGAAGGCCAAATATTAGACCAAAGGTGCCCACGCAATAAGACTCCAAGATATAATCGACAAGTCTATATGTTGTTGATAGGAGGATGTAGGGGCCGTCTCAACAATCTGGCGTATGGGATGTTTTTTTTCTCTTTCAAGAAGAGGTCCTCCTCTTCTTGAAAAGTGCACTGAGCTTATTGACGACTCACTGTCACTCGATTCTGTCTCCTGAGTCCGACGTCAGCCATGTGAGAAGTTACCAGTGCTGCGCTCCTTTCTGTTTCCCCTTTTTTTGTGTTTTGTTGTCTGTCTGTCTCCTTACTGGGCTGGCTGGACTACTTTTGATTCCCCGCCAACTCACCTCCTCAGCCTGTTTGCTCGTCACTCTGACTTCAATACTCACCTACACCTGCTTATTATACCCGGTTTTTCGTTACATCCAGTAATCACCAGTTCGTCGCCTCACCACAGTGTAAACGCCTTGGTATTTAGCTCTTAGCAAACTAATCTCAGTGTCCTGTAAATCCTCACCTTGTGCTCTATCTGTTCAGAATCCATCTGGCCTACTCCTCTGCCTGCCGACGTCAGCCACCAACCCCTCGTCTGTGTTGCCTCATGCTCCACGCACACCTGCCCAGGCCTGCTTGCTCTCGTCAGCTTCTGGATCCCCGGCTCACCTCCCCCACCTCCATTCGCACTGTGTTCCTCCGTGCATCTCCGCACACCTGCTCCAGCCTGCTTCACTCGACAAACTGGATGCCCGGCTTCGGACCTCCGCTCCACCTCCGGAGAAACTCCCTGGCCCTGGACATTGTGAATTCAATGTCCCTCAGCTGTTCTGTATCACCGGTTTTGGAAATAAGGCCTTTGTTCTTAAACTTCAGTCTCCCTCAATAGTGTTCAGATTGTGGGTTCACACCTGTAAGCTCTCGGAGAGGCGTAACAAGCCATATAGGGTAGTGTATTATTCAACAGTGTCTATTCGTGACGTACCGTGATGTGCGCGACGTCACTAACCGGCGAAAGCTGCTTTGTTCGGAGGGTCGTGTAAATAGGAGCGAGCATGGAAAGTTGCTAATAATCACGATTTATAAATACAGCGGGCATCATGTCATTAATGACAGAATGATTTTTCCATTATAATAGTATATTATCTGTAATAAGAACAGTATTGTCCGTTGCATTTTGTAAGCTCTTTTAAGTACTTAAGGCTTGACAGTAATAAATCATAGGTGATTATACTGTATCGACCTGAATTAAATATGTTTGAAATTAATCTACTAGTGTTTATCCATAGGGTAAAAATTACCCTCCAACACACCAACACTACAAATAAAACTATGGTATAAAGGGGTTAACTGGCTTTTCTTTAGTTACCCGTTTCATTGCATCCTGCATGGATGCAGGCGATAAATGGATACTAGCAGGTGGGTTTCTGATGAGGAGCTAAATCACATATGATACACAAGCTATAATATCCTGCCGCTTTACGACACACAAGAGTTAATCCAGATCCCTCACTAATACACAATGCCATAAGATAATACAAAAAACATCCATATATCTCATGCACAGAGTAAGGCATTTGTGACAAAACTCAGAAGCCTAACACCAAATATCCCAATACTTTAAATTAATAAAGCTAAGATCATGTATGGCTTTTTAAGCTTCTCATGTTTAAAGACGATACACATAGTGAGAGATCACTTGTGAACTTGATAGCCCTTCTTCTACTCAATGTGATGACCTTCAAAATGATCAGACATAATGTAACACAAGAAGCCACAAGCCATGAAAATCATTACATCATATATATAGGTCCGACAGGTGAACACAATAATACACACATAAACAAACTGTATTTAGTAGTCAATTAAAACAAAATGTGAGTATGGCACCCCACTTCCATAAATCTCAATACTATGCGATATGTGCATATTGACCATGCATCCTCGCCACCTGTATAAAAACCTAGTCAAGTTCAGGCTGTGCTAATGCCAAATGTTAGAGAGATATTTAAGATTTGATAAAGACAACTGCAGCTTCTTAAATGTATAAAGTCAAACCTATTTGTGGAAAACTGAAAACGAATCGATGAAATAACATCTGGATAAGTGACTTATTTTTAAATATCATACAATGGACCGTCTTTAGGTTTGCAAAGAAAAAACGACATCGCTTTTTTTTCACATGCGAACCTGGATACAGCTCTTACGTGCGAACTCCGATTCAGATTCGAACGTAATATCAGCTTCTTCAGTCTGAAACTTGAACCCTAAACCCACACTAAGTTGTCATACACTCCGATTAATGAACGCCATACACCGCACCTATCGATAAATTCAGATATTGCAATAAGAGATCATATGACCTATGTTGCCCTCATATCTCACATCTGTCATCCGGAGATCATTTGTCTATAGCCACATCTTATTTCTCGCCACACTTCTTTATATCTACCATCGCGTCTGGCCAAAAGGATGGCGGGCTGATAACAGTGTTGTAAAGGACACTTCGACATACTCGAAAATATTACACAGTATGACAATCTACCAAAA